CTACCATCGCAGATCCTGAAGCTTTGCCAAGGCATCATGCAGCGCTGCGCAATTCGCCGGAACAGGAGGAGAGTCATGGGCCGCCCGCTCGTCAAAGGCACGCTGGCAACCGACTTCGACCAACGTGCGCAGAGCAACCTGTTCTCCCTGTTCGAGAAAGTTTTGCTTCAATGTACCGATGAATGCCTGCGCTATCGGCTGGCCGGCCGTCTCAACAGCAAGACGCCCGCAGACGTCCTGAATGGCTACGTGCAGCTATGGACCAGAATCTTTGGACCAATGGAGACACTGGCGATTGACCAGGAAGGAAGACTCACTGGTGATATGGCTTCTCGTCTCTGTGATCGCTGCACCGTGACTCGCGAGTTTGGAGGCGCAGCAGCGCATGCACATACTGGCTTGGCTGAGAGTGCCATCTTTCTGGCCAAGGCGGTAGCTCTCAAGATCAAGGCCGACTGCGTGAAACAGGGCATCAACTACCTGAGCGACGTAGACGTCGCGGCTGAGGCTGAGGCTGCCATGGTCGGCAACCTTACCAAGAGCGACTGGCCCAAGCTACCATTGCGTGGCAGCAGACTCACGGATCGAAGTGGCTCGAGACCTTGAAACCGTACGACAGCGCCGACATCTGGAGAGCTCCGGAGCGTAAGGGCGCCGACAGATGGAGAGGACCAGACTTCATCTCTCTGTCCAAGGATCTCGGCACGGCCATCGTGGTGCATCAGGGACAGCCCTTGATTCTTGCCTGCACGACACCTTCGCGCACGTAAGTTGTGCTATCAAGTATTGGGATTTCACTTGCAAGGACATCTACCTGGACAGCGCAGAGACGCCATGCGCAATGGCTCAGCTACTGGAGACGGTTGAAGGTTGCATCCCAGGAGCGTTACATCTCATGGGTGAAGTCCCAGATGGCACAGGCAAGCTGACCTCGGAACCACGAGAACCTGCACGACGATCCGCCTAAGCTCTTCGGCACAGGTTTCCGACTGGTGCATGGTCAGTGGCCGCTTCGATATGGTTGCTCATAGCTTGGCATCCTGACGGGCGTCAGCACTACATCAGTCGTGAGCTGAACCTTCACCTCACCAACAACATCCAGAGGATCATAGGTGCGACTTGGTACAGCCACTACTTCCTCATCCTGGCATTGAAGGGTTTACATGTTCCTCACGATGAATATCGACCGATTGATGATCTGGAAATCTCCGGGATAACTGCCATCGAGGACTCCCCGGGTGATGCCCCATGGCAAGTTGCCCAGCGACCAAGAAGCCGCGCAACGTCACCCGCGCCGACGCCTACAGCAACAGCGGACATGCCTTCCTTCAACACGTCCACCGAGGACATAGATGATAATCTCTCCACGGAGCTTGGTCGACTGATTAAGACGCCTGAGCAGACGCCGACACCACGATCTGCACTGAAGGATGCTAGTAGAGAGTTGGTCCCGCAAACACCAGATTACCGACAAGTGAGGATCATCGAGACCACGCTGATCGATCTGGACACGAGGCGCGATGCACCTCCACCTCCTCAACGAGTGCCAGACGAAAGACCTATCATGCTAGACATGTCACGAGTGCCAGCGCTACCGATGGCACTTGTAAACAATGGTTCCTATCGCGGCGATTTTCCGATAGAAGCCGGACCTCCAATACTACCTCTTCCAGCGCCAACTGCGCCTGCTCAATTGTCCCCCCCCGCCCACTGCAGCCTATCAGTTACCAACAGAGCTCACCTGCGCTACTGCCATCAGCTTTCAAGCCGAGCGCGCCGGATCAAGGCATGCCCTCACAAGACAGTCATCAGCAACACGATCAAAGTATGCCCACACAAGACAGTCATCAGCATGCTGAAGTATCATGCATCGACCTCGCCATGGAGATGGAAAGAAGCCTTGAGGAAACCGAACGCCACCAGCAGCAGACCACCGTGGACGATCAGACGACTGGCGCCGCAGATAACCTATTGCGTGTGGACTTCCGTCAGGTTCATGGCCCTGCCGTTGCGCTACCGATTGCAGCTCCAATGAAAGGCGAGGCGGACCCAGTCCCTGCTGATGGATCTCTCGACTTCACCAAAGAAATGAAAACGCTCATCGAGAAGGACGAACGTCATGAGCGACATCCGGCAGACAAGCGCGGCATTGACACCTCCGGCAATATGGAACTGACGCAGCAAGTTATCAAGCTCAGCGAGACAGGTGAAGGACCAACACCCCTGCAATATGAACTACACCTGGTTCTAGCTGGTGATCAGTGCGATGGTCAGCCGACTAAGGCAGCAGCACCATCGGATGCGACGCCCATCGAGGATTATTACATGCATTTTCTCACGATGGAGGCCGATGCTTCTTGCGCTTCGCAACGTTCAGATCTTCAGCAGCTGCGTCAGGACGCAAATCACATGGATAATGACTTCGAAGACTGCAAGGATCACTCGACCACTATATCATGCCCCACTCACCCTAGGAAAAGAAGGGACAACATGTTTGTTGTGGAGTGTTCGGGCGGGAACGGGTGTTTCTACTACGACATCCTCGAGGACACCTGCATACCAATCTACGCATCGCAGGCTGAGCAGCTCATTTCTGAAGGAACATGTGCACGGTTATGGGATCTCATCGAGCCTGCAGATCGCAAGGAAACCACCTCTTATGTTCAGCACGATCGCTTCCGACCTCGACTGAAATCGGATTGTGCGTCGGACAAATCCATTGATTCAGCTTGGGTGCGCAGATGGAAGTGGAAGGAGAAATGGGTACTACGTTCCCGACTGTGCGGCCGCAGCCTCAAGGACAATCAGAAGTACGCAATGGATAGACACAGATCCACGGCGGCTAGAGTCAGTCAGCGCATGATGATATCATTGGCCCAGGCACATGACGACTTTCAAATGGAATATTGGGACATATCGTCCGCATTCCTCAAGGGCTGAAGTTTGACGAGTTAACGCGCAACTCCAAGAAACTCGACCTGGACATCCGCGAGAAGAGGCACGTGTATATCATACCACCACCTAACGTATGGCGGCACATACGGGATCTCTCGAAGTTCTTTGATATCCCTGACTCGGAGACGCACCTGTACGTCCTGGAGTGCATCAAGCCTGCGCCAGGCCTAGTAAACGCGCCCGTTTTGTGGCAAGCGGCGTTTCCCCTACACGTGTGCGACGACCTGCGTGGAGCTAAGGCATTGCTTGATGAGAAGTGCTTCAGTTGGCACTCTGGCGAGGCCCTCAAAATGGCAACTACGCTCCACGTCGACGATCTGCTACCTGTCGGACTGCCAGAATGGCTAGACTGGGGGCGCGCGCGCATGGAGAAAAAGTCCGGCAAGACTGCGAGGAAAAAGCTCCCGTGCACTCATCTGGGATGTGGTTACAGCAAAATGCCCAATGGATGCATCTTTATCAGCCAGGACGCCTACTTGGACACCATCAAGGCTCCCGAGTTGACGAAGCACCGTCTATTGCAAGGTGGTGAATTCTGCACGAAGGAGGACATTCATGATTATCGTTCTTTGTGCTGCCAGCTCCTGCACCTACTGCACACCACATGGGACGTCTGCGCGGCTACGACTCAGCTCCAGTCCAAACAGACGAAACCGACGATTACAGACATGAAGGCTCAGATACTCACACTGGATCGAACGAAGCGGAATCGACATGGCATGGGACTCTACTTTCACCGACCACATGGACCTTTCAAATTATCATCGATAACAGACGCCAGTCACGGATCGAAAATAACCAGCTATGCTCACGAGGCCCAAGGACTGTTCTTGTGCGAGGACAAGCCCTTCAAGACCAACAAGGACGGCCTGCTCGACCCAGACGACGACAAGAAGTTCCTGTACAAGGCTCACCCGCTCTCCGGCACATCAGAGAAAAGCAAACTGATCTGTTATTCGACGTCACGTGCAGAAGCAGTTGCAGCATTCGGAGGATCACATGATGCTCAGTATGTGACACTACGCTTCAGAGAGATATTTATGAAACCTTGGACTCAGCGAATTCCAACGACGGCACGATCAGGACTCATGAACTTAGAAGAGCAAGGATTGACAGCGATGCTGGTGGAAGTGGGAACACTGTTTCGACCTGTATCAGCTGATTGTGGGACAGAAGGGCATCCTGGCACACAAAACGCAGCGATTGTACATTCTTTCGCTTCGCGAGGATCGGATCAGCGGCCCGATGATGAGAGTGTTCCGCCTTCCTACAAATCTTATGATACTGGATGGTCTTACAAAAGTTGGTACCTTTCCGAAGTTGATGCGGTATCTCACTAAGGGGATCGTTGACTTGACGAGAACTAATACGACGGCCTCTGCCAATAAGAAGCAGAACGATAAGCCTACCGTGATCAGGACCAGCAAAATCAAGATTAACTACCAGGAGATCGACCTGATTGAGCTATATGAGGCACCGCTTGGCGCCTGCCCTTTTGCCTCTTCTCCTCAAGAAGCAGGATCGGGACTGAGAAGGGAGAGCGGTTCCTATCGAGACGATTTTCCGCTACCGCCCTGGCTCATTCCGACCAGAAACTATGTCATCATTCGGGGGCCACGACGTCCCCCTCTCCTCCCCTCTCTCACCTCCCCCCTCAAGCCAGAACGACTTCGAGGGCAGCCCTGCGGCCCTGGCTACCCCTTCAGAGAGCTATCTAAGAAAAACCCGGATAGCAGGGCGCCCGAAGGGAATGGAAAGGCTTGGCGACGCACTCTGGAAGGAGCAGCTTGGAGAGCTAAGAGGGTCCCCCTTCCCTGGACCACGAGCCCCACCACCTCCAAGAACCAGGGGCCCACCATCGTCCTTCCCCGACGACGCCCTCCTTCCTTCCTGATGTCTTGATTTTGCCGATGCAGGAGGAATCCTCAGAAATCCTGACCGTTGACCCCGAATGCGGAATGCCTTTCTGACGGCCCCGGGGCCCGGCGAGGGCCCTTCGCCCTCGTCGTCGCCGCCCGCCCGCCCTCGACCCAGCCGCGAGGAGC